ACTACACTATACACTACACTATACACTATAGACTACACTATACACTACACTATACTATACACTACTACACTATACACTACACTATACACTACTACACTATAGACTACACTATACACTACACTATACACTACACTATACACTATAGACTACACTATACACTACACTATACTATACACTACTACACTATACACTACACTATACACTACTACACTATACACTACACTATACACTACTACACTATAGACTACACTATACACTACTACACTATACACTACTACACTATACACTACACTATACACTACACTACTGTAATGGGTTCCGGAGACACTTGTAGAGGTAGCTTCTTTATTGCAACACAACACTCCAACAGCCCTGATACTCTGTCACAGCCTAGGTACACAGCCTAGATACACTACTCTGGCTACGCTCTGGAACTCGCCCTCACAAGGTCGTAGAGTCGGGAGTTCCAGAGTCCCAGCGCTGGCTCTCTCAGCATCCCAGGGTCTTCAGATGGCTGGTCGTGGGTCTTGGGTCTTGAGTTACAACTGGGCCCCGATCGTCCAGGGAGCTCTCCTTTATGCCTGGTCCGACGAGGGGTGGGGCCGTGTGCGCCACCAGACATCCCACAGAGCACACACAGCCCCCCCCCCCCCCCCCCCGTTGGCGGCGCCAAAAGGCTTAAGCGCCTGGGAACCCAGCGCCTGGCACCCAGAGGCTTAAGCGTCTGGACCCCCTGGGAACTCAACGCCTGGCGCCCAGAGGCTTAAGCGTCTGGACCCCCTGGGAACCCAGCGCCTGGCGCCCAGAGGCTTAAGCGTCTGGACCCCCTGGGAACCCAGCGCCTGGCGCCCAGAGGCTTAAGCGTCTGGACCCCCTGGGAACTCAACGCCTGGCGCCCAGAGGCTTAAGCGTCTGGACCCCCTGGGAACCCAGCGCCTGGCGCCCAGAGGCTTAAGCGTCTGGACCCCCTGGGAACCCAACGCCTGGCGCCCAGAGGCTTAAGCGTCTGGACTCGCCTGGGAACCCAGCGCCTGGCGCCCAGAGGCTTAAGCGTCTGGACCCCCTGGGAACCCAGCGCCTGGCGCCCAGAGGCTTAAGCGTCTGGACTCGCCTGGGAACCCAGAGCCCCCAGCAGCCCCTCCCTTCTTATGTCACTACACAGACACAGAGCGGCGATGAGGTCCGCTCAACGCGGAGGAGTGAACTGAAGTTCTACGTCGCTACAATTGCAACAAGGAGACAAGACTCGGATACGAGCAGCATGATGATTGTGTAGAGGAGTAGAGGTGGCGTCTTGAGCGCTGTCCGGTGCGGTGGCATCACGGGACGTGGGGTCGCACGCGCTGGGCAGTGCACGTGACGTCACCCCTCCTAGGGTATTTAAGGGAGACCCCGTGACGCAAGCGGGGTCACTGGAGGAACGGGGATAGTGGAAGGGGTAAGAGGGAACCTGGGATAGTGATACGTGTTAATAAACCCTGGCGGAAGCCCCTAACTCCGTCTCCGAGTACGTCCGTCGGAACTACTCGACAATTGTATAAAAATGTCACGAAATTGCGATTATCCTTGCCCGTTTTATTTTTCATGACTTTTTTATATTCCTGAGTTATTAGGTCGTACTCAATAAATGAGCACTTGGCAAACCGTTACCAGAGTAATTGATGATGGCATGACTACTACGAAAATATCATTTTCTGAGTCCATCTAATTATTTAACGGTTTCTTGTATAAGTGATAGCTGGTGCATTATGGGAAACCGATATCGCGATGCTCTTCCTATCAAGCGCAATCACGGTGGCAACCCCAGCCAGTGCCGGAACATGGGATATTTAAAGTATGGGGGAAACCTTCACCCAGCAGCGGATAGAAAATGGTTGATAATGATGATGAAATTTTTAAATCAGAAGACTGCATAGACAGAGATGACGGTTGGGCTCAGTGTAACCAGCGGTCGGGGAGAGATCCCCTCGGTCCAGCCAGAGGACGCTGGTATGGCAGGGAGATTAGACAGCCTGCAAGGTCCGGGGGCTTGTACCTCCTTAGGGTAACGGGTGAGGGGACCATATACCCCTTTGTGTGATAGAGACTGTGTAATTACAGCGGCCGGGAACCTATAGCTTGCAAGCCATCAATGGCTCTTCCAGTGACAATTTTGAGTTGGAAAAAAATAAAAATAAAAAAAATCAGTTTGGAACTGATTTTAAAATACTTGTGATATTTGCTTAATAATATTTGTGTCATTTTAAAGTAAACAGAAATTAGTTTTGAAGATACATTCACTCACTCACTCACCCACTCACTCACCCACTCACTCACCCACTCACTCACCCACTCACTCACTCACCCACCCACTCCACTCACTCACTCACCCACCCACTCACTCAATCACCCACCCACTCACTCACCCACCAACCCACCCACCTACCCACTCACTCACCCACTCATTCACACACTCACTCACCCACTCACTCACCCACTCACCCACATTTCACGGGTCACGGGGCCTCAACGCCTGCACGAAGCTCAACCTCACCACGTCGTACGAACCAGACTACAAGGCCATCAGCAAAACCACGCAGCGCCAGAAGTCGCATTAAAAGTAAGACGTATTTAATTTATTACACGTTAAAAATTACTATATGGCTCTCAATGAAATATAGTTAGAAATATTTGGCTTTTATGGCTCTCCCAGTCAAAAAGTTTCCCGGCCCCTGGTGTATTAAGACAATGAACAGTGTGTGCCAGAAATAAGTTTATAAGTCCGTCCTTTACAACACTACACTTACAAAACGCTACAAACACAAACGACTCTTCAACTTTAACAGAGCTACTTACTGAATAGTTTCGTCGCTGAAATAGACCGGTCCCTTCGACTGATATCTTCGCGTGAAAAACACTTCCCCGGACCCATTCCAGAATAGTTTTAATTGTAAATAGTTTTAAGCAACCGCCAAATCATCTTCTTGGTTTTTAAGGTAAAGTCACGTAGAAGGGAAGTAATAAAATAATAGAAATAAAACATAATAAAATAATTCTCACGACGTTTCGGCCAAAACGCAAGCAGCCGTCTTCAGGTGAAGAATGAGACACTGCCAAGCTTGGGGCTTATATACAAGCTGGGTTCATTGCTTCTACATACTAGTAACATTCCCTCCCTTTGTTAATGCTACTCCCTGCACCCTCCCTTTGTGCTGCTGATCCTGCGTAATGCACGGGCATAATATGACTTTGAAACCTCCCCCCCACCCACCTCCTACGCATTTCCCATGAATATGCTAAACTCCTCTTGATATGCACGTTCTATTGTTAAGGCGCTCTTCTTCCACCTCCAACCCAGCTTATATATAAGCTCCAAGCTTGGCAGTGTCTCATTCTTCACCTGAGGACGGCTGCTTGCGTTGTGGCCGAAACGTCGTGAGAATTATTTTATTTTGTTTTATTTTTAAATCCTTTATATTAAGTTCACTTGCTTGCTTGCGCGCTTATGACCATGCAAATCTTTCGGTCGTTTTTTAACCCACTTCCCGTGATCCAATCGAGCTGACATTTTGCACACAGACTCGTTGTGCGTGACAATTTATTTTCGTGAAATTTTTCCCCAAAATTTTCAATATTTTTAGGAAATTTGTTTTCATATTTAATTACCAATTGCTTAATGGTGGCAGACAATCATCTGACCCATAGGTGGCAGCCATCTCAAGCCAGAGGACGAGAGGACTCTAGCCGACACGCATATAAAGGATTTATAGTGAAAAACTTTGTTTTTACGGGTTAATTTTTTATTATTTTTATTATTTTATTACTTCCCTTCTACGTGACTTTACCGAAAGAACCAAGAAGATGAATCCCTGCAGTCACGAAAACTTTAAATCGAAATTTAACCACCAAATCGTTCCCCTCTGATCCTCAACCTGAAAATCAAGTTGAGTTGCTGGAGTTTTGTCGCCTGGGTATCACGTACAACTCCAGATCGGCAATTTCGTTGTATCACTCCACACATTTTGAACCGCCGCTTCTAACGAACGCACGCACAGTGGCAATTGTTGCATTCCGTAACTTTAAGCCTAATGTCACGATAGTTAACGTCAACAAACAAACGATAAACATCGAACGAGGAAGGGCACCGGTTCAATCCCTGCTGGGGGTCGACTCAGCTCCTCATCGTGTCAACAACGCCTCCACGCCAGAGGCCCCAACACAACAAGGTGGAAACCTCTCTCTCCCCTCCACTCCCTCCACCCTCCACTCCCTCCACTCCCTCCCCTCCCCTCCCTCCCTTTCTCCTCCCTCCCTCCCTCCCTCCCTCCCTCCCTCCCTCCCTCCCTCCCTCCCTCCACTCCCTCCCCTCCCTCCCCTCCCTCCCTTTCTCCTCCCTCCCTCCCCTCCCTCCCCTCCCTCCCCTCCCTCCCCTCCCTCCACTCCCTCCCTCCCTCCACTCCCTCCCTCCTCCTCCCTCCCTCCACTCCCTCCTCCCTCCACTCCCTCCCTCCCTCCACTCCCTCCCTCCACTCCCTCCCTCCCTCCACTCCCTCCCTCCCTCCCTCCCTCCTCCCTCCCTCCACTCCCTCCCTCCCTCCACTCCCTCCCTCCTCCTCCCCTCCCTCCCTCCACTCCCTCCCTCCCTCCCCCCTCCCTCCCCATCCCTCCCTCCCTCCCTCCCTCCCTCCCTCCCTCCCTTCCATCCCCTCCCCTCCCCTCCCCTCCCTCCCTCCCTCCCCTCCCTCCCCTCCCTCCCTCCCTCCCTCCCTCCCCTCCCTCCCCCTCCCTCCCTCCCTCCCTCCTCCCCCTCTCCCCCTCCCTCCCCTCCCCTCCCTCCCTCACCTCCCTCCCTCCCCTCCTCCCCTCCCTCCCTCCCTTCCCTCCCCCTCCCTCCACTCCCTCCCTCCCTCCCTCCCTCCCTCGCCTTCCTCCCTCCCTCCCTCCCTCCCTCCTCCTCCCTCCCTCCATCCCTCCCTCCCTCCCTCCCTCCCTCCCTCACTCCCTCCCTCCCTCCCTCCCGTCCCTCCCCTCCCTCCCTCCTCCCCTCCCTCCCTCCCTCCCTCCCCTCCCTCCCCTCCCTCCCTCCCTCCCTCCCCCCTCCCTCCCTCCCTCCCTCCCTCCCTCCCTCCCTCCCTCCCTCCCTCCCCTCCCTCCCTCCCTCCCCCTCCCTCCCTCCCTCCCTCCCTCCCTCCCTCCCATCTCCTCCCTCCCCTCCCCTCCCTCCCTCCCTTCCCTCCCCTTCCCTCCCTCCCTCCCTCCCTCCTCCCTCCCTCCCTCCTACAGCCCTCCCTGCCCCCTCCCTCCACTCCCTCCTCCCTACTCCCTCCCTCCCCCTCCCCCTCCCTCCCTCCCTCCCCCTCCCTCCTACCTCCCTCCCTCCCCCTCCCTCCCGCCCTTCCTCCTCCCTCCCTCCTCCCACTCCTCCCTCCCCTCCCTCTCCCTCCCCCTCCTCCTCCCCTCCCCCTCCCTCGCCCTCCCTCCCTCCCTCCGCGTCCCCTCCCTCCCATCCCGCCTCCCTCCCTCACCCCCTTCCTGTCTCCTCCTCTCCCTCCCTCCCTCCCCCTCCCCTCCCTCCCTCGCCTCCCCTCCCTGCCCTCCCTCCCTCCCTCCCACTGCCCTCCCTTCTCCTCCCTCACCTCCCCTCCCTCCCCCCTCCCTCCCTCCCTCCTTCCCTCCCTCCCTTCCCCTCCTCCTCCCATCCCTCCCTCCCTCCCTCCACTCCCGCCCCCTCCCTCCCTCCCTCCACTCCCTCCCTCCCTCCCTTTCTCCTCCTCCCTCCCTCCCTCCCTCCCTCCCTCCCTCCCTCCCTCCCTCCCTCCCCCCTCCCCTCCCTCCACTCCCCCCTCCCTCCCTCCCTCCCTCCCTCCCTCCCTCCCTCCCTCCCTCCCTCTCCTCCCCCCCCTCTCCCTCCACTCCCTCCCTCCCTCCTCCCCTCCCTCCCCCCTCCCTCCCCCTCCACTCCCTCTCCCCCTCCCTTCCTCCCTCCCTCCCTCCCCCCCCCTCCCTCCACTCCCTCCCTCCCCTCCCTCCCTCCCCTCCCTCCTCCCTCCCTCCCTCCCCTCCCTCCACTCCTCCACTCCCCTCCCCTCTCCCCTCCCTCCACTCCCCCTCCCTCCCTCCACTCCCTCTCCTCCTCCCTCCCACCCCCCCTCTCTCCCTCCCTCACCCACGCCCGTCCCTCCTGTCCCCCCACTCCCGAACCGATGATACGGGTTCCATCTCAGCGTCATTGCCCGCACTCGCTCCATCCACTCTCGCCCCCACCGACCCCTCTCCCCCCCCCCCTCCTCCCCCCCCTCCCTCCCCCCTCGCCCCCACCCCCCCTCCCTCCGCCCCCTCTATAGCCCCCCCTCCCCAAGCTACGCTCCCCCCGCCTCTCCCCCCGCGCCCCGCCGGGCCCCCCACGTCTCTCCGCGTCTCCTCCGCCGGGTCGAAGTGGTTCGCGTTCAGCCTCCGGTCGAGCGCCCGTCGCATCTCGACGGAACTCCGGTGCAGCGCAAACTGCTCCCTCAGGAACAACTCGCGCCCCCAGGCCTCCCTCGCCTGCCTCGCCTGCTCCACCCTCGCCGGCTCCACCCTCGCCGGCTCCACCCTCGCCGGCTCCACCCTCGCCGGCTCCGCCCTCGCCTGCTCCGCCCTCGCCTGCTCCGCCCTCGCCTGCTCCACCCTCGCCGGCTCCACCCTCGCCTGCTCCACCCTCGCCTGCTCCACCCTCGCCGGCTCCACCCTCGCTCCACGTGAGTCGCTCTCCCTCTGCCTCGACTGCCTGTCGCCCCAGCCCACCCTGGGCGGCCGTGGCGGCTGCCGTTGCCGCTGCTGCCGTTGCCTGTCGGCGTCAATCAGCTGCCTCAGCCGGTTGGAGATGTCGGAGATCCTCCTGCGGTCGACTTCTCCGGCTCGACCTTGGCCCCTCTCCATGGCGGGCGGATGTCACCCGTCGGATTCGTTGCTCGGCCCTAGCTGTGACGTCACAGCAAACAAGCGTCACAGCCCGTCATCGCCTCCGACACCGTCGCCTCCGTGTGGGTCTCTGTGAGTCTCTGTGGGTCTCTGTGAGTGTGCTGGTTTCTGTGGGTCTCTGTGGGTCTCTGTGAGTGTGCTGGTTTCTGTGTGGGTCTCTGTGGTTCTCTGTGGGTCTCTATGAGTGTGCTGGTCTCTGTGAGTGTGCTGGTTTCTGTGGGTCTTTGTGGGTTTCTGTGGGTCTTTGTGGGTCTCTGTGAGTGTGCTGGTTTCTGTGGGTCTCTGTGGGTCTCTGTGGGTCTCTGTGAGTGTGCTGGTTTCTGTGGGTCTCTGTGGGTCTCTGTGAGTGTGCTGGTTTCTGTGGGTCTCTGTGGGTCTCTGTGAGTGTGCTGGTTTTTGTGGGTCTCTGTGGGTCTCTGTGAGTGTGGGTTTCTGTGGGTCTCTGTGGGTCTCTGTGGGTCTCTGTGAGTGTGGGTCTCTGTGGGTCTCTGTGAGTGTGCTGGTTTCTGTGGGTCTCTGTGAGTGTGCTGGTTTCTGTGGGTCTCTGTGGGTCTCTGTGAGTGTGCTGGTTTCTGTGGGTCTCTGTGGGTCTCTGTGGGTCTCTGTGAGTGTGCTGGTTTCTGTGGGTCTCTGTGAGTGTGCTGGTTTCTGTGGGTCTCTGTGGGTCTCTGTGAGTGTGCTGGTTTCTGTGGGTCTCTGTGAGTGTGGGTCTCTGTGAGTGTGCTGGTTTCTGTGGGTCTCTGTGGGTCTTTGTGGGTCTCTGTGAGTGTGCTGGTTTCTGTGGGTCTCTGTAGGTCTCTGTGAGTGTGCTGGTTTCTGTGGGTCTCTGTGGGTCTCTGTGAGTGTGCTGGTTTCTGTGGGTCTCTGTGAGTGTGGGTCTCTGTGAGTGTGCTGGTTTCTGTGGGTCTCTGTGGGTCTTTGTGGGTCTCTGTGAGTGTGCTGGTTTCTGTGGGTCTCTGTAGGTCTCTGTGAGTGTGCTGGTTTCTGTGGGTCTCTGTAGGTCTCTGTGAGTGTGCTGGTTTCTGTGGGTCTCTGTAGGTGTCTGTGAGTGTGGGTCTCTGTGAGTGTGCTGGTTTCTGTGGGTCTCTGTGGGTCTCTGTGAGTGTGCTGGTCTCTGTGGGTCTCTGTAGGTCTCTGTGGGTCTCTGTGAGTGTGCTGGTTTCTGTGGATCTCTGTAGGTGTCTGTGAGTGTGGGTCTCTGTGAGTGTGCTGGTTTCTGTGGGTCTCTGTGGGTCTCTGTAGGTGTCTGTGAGTGTGGGTCTCTGTGAGTGTGCTGGTTTCTGTGGGTCTCTGTGGGTCTCTGTGAGTGTGCTGGTCTCTGTGGGTCTCTGTAGGTCTCTGTGAGTGTGCTGGTTTCTGTGGGTCTCTGTGGGTCTCTGTGAGTGTGCTGGTTTCTGTGGGTCTCTGTAGGTCTCTGTGAGTGTGCTGGTTTCTGTGGGTCTCTGTAGGTGTCTGTGAGTGTGGGTCTCTGTGGGTCTCTGTGAGTGTGCTGGTTTCTGTGGGTCTCTGTAGGTGTCTGTGAGTGTGGGTCTCTGTGGGTCTCTGTGAGTGTGCTGGTTTCTGTGGGTCTCTGTGAGTGTGGGTTTCTGTGAGAATGGGTCTCTGTGGGTCTCTGTGAGTGTGGGTTTCTGTGAGAATGGGTCTCTGTGGGTCTCTGTGAGTGTGGGTCTCTGTGAGTGTGGGTCTTTGCAAGTATGGGTCTCTATGAGTGTGGGTCTCTGTGAGTGTGGGTCTCTGTGAGTGTGGGTCTCTATGAGTGTGGGTCTCTGTGTGTATGGGTCTCTGTGAGTGTGGGTCTCTGTGAGTGAGGGTCTCTATGAGTGTGGGTCTCTGTGAGTGTGGGTCTCTGTGAGTGTGGGTCTCTGTGAGTGTGGGTCTCTGTGAGTGTGGGTCTCTCTGAGTGTGGGTCTCTATGAGTGTGGGTCTCTGTGTGTATGGGTCTCTGTGAGTGTGGGTCTCTGTGAGTGAGGGTCTCTATGAGTGTGGGTCTCTGTGAGTGTGGGTCTCTGTGAGTATGGGTCTCTGTGAGTGTGGGTCTCTGTGAGTGTGGGTCTCTGTGAGTGTGGGTCTCTGTGAGTGTGGGTCTCTGTGAGTGTGGGTCTCTGTGAGTGTGGGTCTCTCTGAGTGTGGGTCTCTGTGTGTATGGGTCTCTGTGAGTGTGGGTCTCTGTGAGTGAGGGTCTCTGTGGGTGTGGGTCTCTGTGAGTGTGGGTCACGTGTGTGTATACACTGTACATCACGTGTGTGTATACACTGTACGTCACGTGTGTGTATACACTGTACGTCACGTGTGTAATACACTGTACGTCACGTGTGTAATACACTGTACATCACGTGTGTGTATACACTGTACATCACGTGTGTGTATACACTGTACATCACGTGTGTGTATACTGTACATCACGTGTGTGTATACACTGTACATCACGTGTGTGTATACACTGTACATCACGTGTGTGTATACACTGTACATCACGTGTATAAACTGGAATGAATGCAAAATAAAAAAGATCAAAGCACAGTGTTTAACCTTTGGGTCTGTGATACATTTAATGTAAAGTTATGAAATCGGCTGAAATCTAAGACTACATCAGTAGTTGCAATTCCTTTAAGTTGTAAACTACGATGCACTGCAAGCACATCAAGTGAAGAAGGCTGTAGTTCTAATCCCCGAAGATTTTGGTTAAAGTTTTATTTTGAACAGTACAAATTATAATTAATAAAAATTAAATAAAAAAATAAAAACCACTGCCCTTTGGTTCTTTCGCTAAAGACACGTAGGTAAAACATGAAAATAAAAATTAATATAAAATAAAATAACATGAAATAAAAATCACTGCCCTTTGGTTCTTTCGCTAAAGACACGTAGGTAAAAAATAAAATAAAAATTAATAAAAAATAAAATAACATAAAATAAAAATCACTGCCCTTTGGTTCTTTCGCTAAAGACACGTAGGTAAAACATGAAAATAAAAATTAATAAAAAATAAAATAACAAAATAAAAATCACTGCCCTTTGGTTCTTTCGCTAAAGTCACGTAGGAAAAAAATTAAAAATTAAAATTAATACAAAATAAAATAATATAAAATTAAAATAACTGCCCTTTGGTTCTTTCGGTAAAGTCACGTAGGTAAAACATGAAAATAAAAATTAATAAAAAATAAAAAAACAAAATAAAAATCACTGCCCTTTGGTTCTTTCGGTAAAGTCACGTAGGCAAACAATAAAAATAAAAACTAATTAAAAATAAAATAACATAAAATAAAAATCACTGCCCTTTGCTTCTTTCGCTAAAGTCACGTAGGTAAAACATGAAAATTAAAATTAATAAAAATTAAAAAATAAAATTTATAAAAATAAAAAAACACAAAATAAAAATCACTGCAACTCGAACTCACCAGGAAGAGGGAAACCGGGTCACGTGGCAACTCCACGTGTAGCCCCGCCCCCCAGCCAATCAGCGGCCGGCACGTGGGCGGGGCTTAGTGACGCACCAGCGAGTGGGCGGGGCTTGGTGACACGAGTGGGCGGGGCTTGGTGACTCACCAGCGAGTGGGCGGGGCTTGGTGACACGAGTGGTCGGGGTTTGGTGACGCGCCAGCGAGTGGGCGGGGCTTGGTGGCGCGCGTGGGCGGGGCTTGGTGACTCACCAGCGAGTGGGCGGGGCTTGGTGACGCGCGTGGGCGGGGCTTGGTGACTCACCAGCGAGTGGGCGGGGCTTGGTGGCGCGCGTGGGCGGGGCTTGGTGACTCACCAGCGAGTGGGGGGGCTTGGTGACGTGAGTGGGCGGGGCTTGGTGACGCGAGTGGGCGGGGCTTGGTGCCGCGAGTGGGCGGGGCTTAGTGACTCATCAGCGAGTGGGCGGGGCTTAGTGACGTGAGTGGGCGGGGCTTGGTGGCTCACCAGCGAGTGGGCGGGGCTTAGTGACGCGCGTGGGCGGGGCTTGGTGACTCACCAGCGAGTGGGCGGGGCTTGGTGACACGAGTGGGCGGGGCTTGGTGACTCACCAGCGAGTGGGCGGGGCTTGGTGACGCGCGTGGGCGGGACTTGGTGATTCACCAGCGAGTGGGCGGGGCTTGGTGACGCGCGTGGGCGGGGCTTGGTGCCGCGAGTGGGCGGGGCTTAGTGACTCATCAGCGAGTGGGCGGGGCTTAGTGACGTGAGTGGGCGGGGCTTGGTGGCTCACCAGCGAGTGGGCGGGGCTTGGTGCCGCGTGTGGGCGGGGCTTGGTGACTCACCAGCGAGTGGGCGGGGCTTAGTGACTCACCAAAAATAAGTAACTTTATTTTTTTAACTAAATTTAGCCATTTCTATTTTTTCTCTTTTTTTTCGTGACTGCCAAGGATCCATCATACTCTTTGGTTCTTTCGGTAAAGTCACGGAGGTGAAAAAGATTAAAAATAATAATAATTATTAAAATATAAATAACAACATTTTATTAAAAAATAAGTAAAAACATTTTGTAACTAAATTAAGTTAATTCTATTTTTTCTCTTTTTTTCCCACCTACCTACGTGACTTTCCCGAAAGAACCAAAGAGTTTGACGGATCCTTGGCAGCACTCACGAAAACTTCAAATCGAGATCAAGAAATCATCATGAGATGTGAAAAAAATAATTAAAATATAAATAACAACATTTTATTAAAAAATAAGTAAAACATTTTTTTTGTAACTAAATTAAGTTATTTCTATTTTTCTCTTTTTTTCCCACCTACCTACGTGACTTTTCCCGAAAGAACCAAAGAGTTTGACGGATCCTTGGCAGTCGTCACGAAAACTTCAAATCGAGAACAAGAAATCATCATGAGATGTGAAAAAAATAATTAAAATATAAATAACAACATTTTATTAAAAAATAAGTAAAAACATTTTTTTTGTAACTAAATTAAGTTATTTCTATTTTTTCTCTTTTTTTCCCACCTACCTACGTGACTTTACCGAAAGAACCAAAGAGTTTGACGGATCCTTGGCAGTCGTCACGAAAACTTCAAATCGAGAACAAGAAATCATCATGAGATGTGAAAAAAATAATTAAAATATAAATAACAACATTTTATTAAAAAATAAGTAAAACATTTTTATTGTAACTAAATTAAGTTATTTCTATTTTTTCTCTTTTTTTCCCACCTACCTACGTGACTTTTACCGAAAGAACCAAAGAGTTTGACGGATCCTTGGCAGCACTCACGAAAACTTCAAATCGAGATCAAGAAATCATCATCGGATGCGTCAAAATCACATCTCCCCCATGAAGATCCATCATCGGGTGACGTCACACCCCCTCATCGATCCAAGAATCGACGTCACGTTATAATCGCCTCTCCCCCCGCCCGCCCGCTAACACTCGTCGATCCAAGAATCGACATCACGTTGGAATCTCCCCGCCCGCTAACACTCGTCGATCCACCCACCGTCGATTAGCGAGAATCGATTCCTCATTAACCCTGCATTTTTTCGACGTTTCGTGTCCTGCGCCCTTTCGCGAGCGCCAATACGAAGATGTCGACAGCCGTTCACGAGGGGAACGCGTCGTCGGAGCGACTGGGAGCCGATGGCGAAGCCCACGACGTCCCGGCGGGCGAGACGGTGAGTGGCGACTTGACTGGAGGATGTTAGAACGGGAAGCCGAGGGTGGTGAGGCCTGTGGCGAGAGGCTTCACTCAGGCGAGGCGCACGTGTCACACCCAGCCAGCCAGCCACGTGTCCCCCACCCACCCACCCAGCCACGTGTCCCACCCACCCAGCCAGCCACGTGTCCCACACCCACCCAGCCACGTGTTGATTGGTGATTGATTAACGCGATTAGATTTCGATTTAAAGGTGACTGCAGGGATTCATCTTGTTGGTTCTTTCGGTGAAGTCACGTAGAAGGGAAATAATAAAATGATAAAAATAAAAATATTATAAAATAATAAAATATCAAAATAATGTTATTCTATATTTAAATAATATTATACTATAATATAATAATATAATATTTCGATTTAAAGCTTTCGTGGCTGCAGGGATTCATCTTGTTGGTTCTTTCGGTAAAGTCACGTAGAAGGGAAATAATAAAATAATAAAAATAAAACATAAAATAAAATTCTCACGACTCTTAGGTTTTTTCGGCGATAATAATAGAAATAAAAGAATATTATTTTAAAATAATATTAGTATTTTATTTTAAAATAATATTAGTATTTTAAAATTAAAATAATAGAAATAAAATAATATAATTTTAAAATAATTTTATTTTAAATAATAATATTCTTTTATTTCTATCATTATTTATATCATATTATTTATTTCCCTACGTGACTTTACCGAAAAGAACCTAAGAGTATGAATCCTTGCAGTCACGAAAGCTTCAAATCTAGAATTCTCACGACGTTTCGGCCACAACGCAAGCAGCCGTCCTCAGGTGAAGAACAGGTCTGTGGGGAAGACAGCGTCTGAATGAAACAGCACCAGGCTTGGCAGCGTATATTTAAGCTGCTGGGTTAGAGGGGGAAGGGGCGCCTTGACAAAGGAATTTACATATCAACAGGAACTTAGCACATTTATGGGAAATGCAGATATGGGATTAGTCACTACTTGTGGAATGTGTAGGTGGTTTGGGGGGGGGGTCTCAAAGTCATATTATGCTCGTGTATTATGTAGGATTAGCAGTCATAATGGGCGGTAGTAGGATTCGCATTAATAAAGGGAGGGACATTTTAATAGGAGCTGCAGCAGCCAAACCACCACGTAGAAAACTAAAATAAAAACTGCATCAATATCATCAGTATACTAAATATACTCTCCAATAAGCTGAGCTACTGACAGTAAGTCATACATTACAATTCTATGTCGCAAAAAATATAATATGCCTCCAGCCAAACTTTTCTCTTACATCACACGGGTCTACCCCGTACTATATACTGCCATAGACAAACCCAACATTACATTATACACTGCGTTACTATACACCACCCTATTATACCTTAGACCAGGGGTCGGCAACCTACGGCTCCGGAGCGGCATGCGGCTCTTTACGGGCTGCTTCTTGACGATGAGTACGTATGTACAATAATTGGTTCTTTACCCTTCCATCTGGCAACAAAACTGACACCTTTTTGCAAGGAGTCATGTTTGCATAGACCGCAATACCTGCAGTCATAAATACAAACAAAAGACATAACTCTGATAATGTGCACTGTGCCTGAAGTTGATTGGTCCACACCCGAGACAGCTTTCCTTCGAGCCTAGTCGCATATGGGTTGGACCAGATGAAAGTGCATTGTCCTTGAGTTGTGCGCCTTTTGGCGTCATCTGGTCCAACCCATATGAGACTAGGCTCGAAGGAAAGCTGTCTCGGGTGTGGACCAATCAACTTCAGGGACAGTGCATACATTATCAGAGTTATGTCTTTTGTTTGTATTTATGACTGCAGGTATTGCGGTCTATGCAAACATGACTCCTTGCAAAAAGGTGTCAGTTTTGTTGCCAGATAGAAGGGTAAAGAACCAATTATCATATTTTTACTGGCAATGAGGTCCCCGTAGTGTAGTACGTATGTACAGTAGTACTCAGATGCATTGCGGCTCTTGAAATACTGAATTTTGTACCGAATGTGAAAGAAATGGCTCTTCTTGTTATTTTGGTTGCCGACCCCTGCCTTAGACTATACATTGTAATATTACACTATTATTGTACACACCCTACTGTATACAAAACTGCTGCGTATTCACTGTACAATTACGATACTATACAGTGAGGGAAAAAAGTATTTGCTCCCCTGATGATTTTGTACGTTTGCCCGCTAACGAAGAAATGATGAGTCTATAATTTTAATGGTGGGTTTATTTGAACAGTGAGAGACAGAATAACAACAACAAAATCCAGAAAAACGCATGTCAAAAATGTTATGAATTGATTTGCATTTTAATGAGGGAAATAAGTATTTGACCCCCTCTCAATCAGAAAGATTTCTGGCTCCCAGGTGTCTTTTATACAGGCAACGAGCTGAGATTAGGAGCACACTCTTAAAAGGGAGTGCTCCTAATCTCAGCTTGTTACCTGTATAAAAGACACCTGTTCACAGAAACAGCTTGCCATCTTTTTCGACTTCCATGGTGAATCTGATGGCTGGGTGTATGGAATTGATGTGGTCGAGGAATTGGTCTAGAGCAGGCCGGCCATGTGGCCAGATGACAAGAGTGTCATCCACGTACCTCTTCCACAAGGTCGGGCGTAGAGTGGCAGTCTGGAAAGCGTCAGTCTCAAATTTCTCCATGAAGACGTTGGCTACAACCGGAGATAGGGGGGGAGGCCATTGGGGTGCCCTCAGTTTGTTTGTAGAAAGTTCCATTCCAGGTGAAGTATGTATTGGTTAAGCAGTGTCTCACCAGGGGGGGCTACCCCAGCATTCAGTTCTTGATGAACCAAGTCTTCAATGATTGCGATGCTGTCATTTCTGATTCGACCGCATTGATTGATCAGACCTCTTCCATAAAGTCGGGCGTAGAGAGGCAGTCTGGAAAGCGTCAGTCTCAAATTTCTCCGTGACAACGTTGGCTACAACCGGAGATAGGGGGGAGCCCATTGGGGTGCCCTCAGTTTGTCTGTAGAAAGTTCCATTCCAGGTGAAGCATGTATTGGTTAAGCAGTGTCTCACCAGGGGGGGCTACCCCAGCATTCAGTCCTTGATGAACCAAGTCTTCAATGATTGCGATGCTGTCATTTCTGATTCGACCGCATTGATTGATCAGACCTCTTCCATAAAGTCGGGCGTAGAGAGGCAGTCTGGAAAGCGTCAGTCTCAAATTTCTCCATGGCGACGTTGGCTACAACCGGAGATGGGGGGGGTTCATATTCATTCAAACTTCTGCCTATTTCCAGTGTATTTTAGGACGGCGTTTTCTCTTAAAATCGTGGGTGTTCTCTGTTGCACTGAACGTTAAAATACTAATCGAGTTAAAATACCGATTGTTAAATGTCACATCTAACGAGGCGTTTAGATTTAAAGTTAAACTTGCGATCGTTCTTAGCGATTACTGAAATTACGGCAAACAGATGCAGATTTAAAAGCCCTTTTAATACAAGTATCTGCCCCGATATCACTTGCCGCTGATGTTTTGCCGTGGCCCGCAAACGAACTTATATCGCTCGGTTTCGTAGTGGAACGCTCGTTAACAGCACTGCACCATATCGATTTAAAGTTTTCGTGACTGCAGCAGGGATTCATCTTCTTGGTTCTTTCGGTAAAGTCGTCACGTAGAAGGGAAATAATAAAATAATAAAAATAAAAATAATAAAATAATTCTCACGACGTTTCGGCCACAACGCAAGCAGCCGTCCTCAGGTGAAGACCAGGTCTGTCGGGAAGACAGCGTCTGAGGACGGCTGCTTGCGTTGTGGCCGAAACGTCGTGAGAATTATTTATTATGTTTTATTTTTATTATTTTATTACTTCCCTTCTACGTGACGACTTTACCGAAAGAACCAAGAAGGTGGAGCACTGCACCACTTCACCATGTCCGTCTTCTCGGTATATATGGAGGAAACAACAACAAGCTTTGCAAAATGAACGTACAGCGAGCCCTCGTTGATCGCGGTTAATGGGGACCGGAACCCCCGTCGCGATAGGTGAACATCCGCCAAGTAGGATTGGCCCCCTAGGAATGTCCGTGTGTGTGTGTGTGGGTTCCAGAATGTTTAACATATGTATATTTATACTTTATATATTTTACTTAAATCTATTTAATTATACAACCTTCATATTATACACTCACTCACTCACGTATATTTTACTTAAATCTATTTAATTATAAAACCTTCATATTATACACTCACTCACTCACATATATTTTACTTGAATCTATTTAATTATAAAACCTTCATATTATACACTCACTCACTCACATATATTTTACTTTAATCTATTTAATTATAAAACCTTCATATTATACACTCACTCACTCACATATATTTTACTTTAATCTATTTAATTATAAAACCTTCATATTATACACTCACTCACTCACGTATATTTTACTTAAATCTATTTAATTATAAAACCTTCATATTATACACTCACTCACTCACGTATATTTTACTTAAGTCTATTTAATTATAAAACCTTCATATTGTACACTCACTCACTCACGTATATTTTACTTTAATCTATTTAATTATAAAACCTTCATATTGTACACTCACTCACTCACGTATATTTTACTTAAGTCTATTTAATTATAAAACCTTCATATTATACACTCACTCACTCACGTATATTTTACTTAAATCTATTTAATTATAAAACCTTCATATTATACACTCACTCACTCACGTATATTTTACTTAAGTCTATTTAATTATAAAACCTTCATATTGTACACTCACTCACTCACGTATATTTTACTTTAATCTATTTAATTATAAAACCTTCATATTGTACACTCACTCACTCACGTATATTTTACTTAAGTCTATTTAATTATAAAACCTTCATATTATACACTCACTCACTCACGTATATTTTACTTAAATCTATTTAATTATAAAACCTTCATATTATACACTCACTCACTCACGTATATTTTACTTAAGTCTATTTAATTATAAAACCTTCATATTGTACACTCACTCACTCACGTATATTTTACTTAAGTCTATTTAATTATAAAACCTTCATATTATACACTCACTCACTCACGTATATTTTACTTAAATCTATTTAATTATAAAACCTTAATATTATACACTCACTCACTCACGTATATTTTACTTAAGTCTATTTAATTATAAAACCTTCATATTATACACTCACTCACTCACGTATATTTTACTTTAATCTATTTAATTATAAAACCTTCATATTATACACTCACTCACTCACGTATATTTTACTTAAGTCTATTTAATTATAAAACCTTCATATTATATACTCACTCTCTCTCTCATACGATACGTATTATGGTGATCTACACTCACCAATGACAGTAGTGTCTTGAGACTTGACTGCAGTAATGACGACGATGACGATGACAATGACGATGACAATGACGATGACAATGACGACGATGACAGACCTGTGCAGTTCGATGAACGTAATGAATGAATGACGATGATGATGGTGTTACTGCTGCACAGCTATAACGAGGCCTTTAAATCAGTTCGGAAAATCCGCGATGCACTGAGGCCCAAACTTGAAGTGGCGAGGGATCACCGTATTGAGTTTGCTTCCTTGTCTATGTGTACAGGACACGTTTGAGGACCCACACAAGCCCCCACCGTCGGCCGTGGTTCACGTTCGGGGATTGTCGGTCGCAGCCCTGGGGTCGGACCTCGTGCAGACCCTGCAGCCCTTTGGCGCAATCAAGTAACCAGTCTAAGACGTCGTAGGCTTTCGCGACCGATATTATTCACGATCAACGTTTTTGGGTTTAGATCGCCGCGTTATTTATAAATGTGTCGTAAAAAAAATGTTTCCCTACCCCAGGGGTCGGCAACCTACGGCTCCGGAGCCGCATGTGGCTCTTTACGGGCTGCTTCTTGACGATGAGTACGTGTGCACAGCATGTACTCAGATGCATTGCGGCTCTTGAAATACTGAATTTTGTACCGAATTGGTAAGAAATGGCTCTTCTTGTTATTTTGGTTGCCGACCCCTGGTGTAGTGTATAGTGTAGTAGTGTATAATGTATTGTATAGTGTAGTGTAGTAGTGTAGTAGTGTATAATATAGTAGTGTATAGTGTAGTGTATAGTGTAGTAGTGTATAGTGTAGTGTATAGTGTAGTAGTGTATAGTGTAGTGTATAGTGTAGTAGTGTATAGTGTAGTGTATAGTGTAGTAGTGTAGTGTTAGTGTATAGTGTAGTAGTGTATAGTGTAGTAGGTATAGTGTAGTGTATAGTGTAGTAGTGTATAATATAGTAGTGTGTAGTGTATAGTGTAGTAGTGTATAATATAGTAGTGTATAGTGTAGTGTATAATGTAGTAGTGTATAATATAGTAGTGTATAGTGTAGTGTATAGTGTAGTAGTGTATAGTAGTGTAGTGTATAGTGTAGTGTATACTGTAGTAGTGTAGTGTATAGTGTAGTAGTGTATAGTGTAGTGTATAGTGTAGTAGTGTATAGTGTAGTATATAGTGTAGTAGTGTATAATATAGTAGTGTATAGTGTAGTGTATAGTGTAGTAGTGTATAGTAGTGTAGTGTATAGTGTAGTAGTGTATAGTAGTGTAGTGTATAGTGTAGTGTATAGTGTAGTAGTGTATAGTAGTGTAGTGTATAGTGTAGTGCAGGGGTCGGCAACCTACGGCTCCGGAGCCGCATGCGGCTCTTTACGGGCTGCTTCTTGACGATGAGTACGTATGTACAGCATGTACTCAGATGCATTGCGGCTCTTGAAATACTGAATTTTGTACCGAATTGGAAAGAAATGGCTCTTCTTGTTATTTTGGTTGCCGACCCCTGCACTACACTATACACTACTACACTACACTATACACTACACTATACACTACACTATACACTACTACACACTACACTACACTATGCACTACTACACTATACACTACTACACTATACACTACACTATACACTACACTATACACTACTACACTATACACTACTACACTATACACTACTACACACTACACTACACTATACACTACTACACTATACACTACTACACTATACACTACACTATACACTACTACACTATACACTACTACACTATACACTACTACACTATACACTACACTATACACTACTACACTATACACTACTATACACTACACTATACACTACTACACTATACACTACTACACTATACACTACTATACACTACACTATACACTACTACACTATACACTACCACACTATACACTACACTATACACTACTACACTATACACTACACTATACACTACCACACTATACACTACACTATACACTACTACACTATACACTACACTATACACTACTACACTATACACTACTACACTATACACTACACTATACACTACTACACTATACACTACACTATACACTACTACACTATACACTACACTATACACTACTACACTATACACTACACTATACACTACTACACTATACACTACACGATACACACTACGACTATACACTACCGATACACTACACTAATACTACTACACTATACCTATCTACATACCTAACCTACACTATAACTACTACACTATACACTACTACACGTATACACTACACTATACACTACTACACTAGACACTACTACTATACACACTACCACTATACAACTACTACACTAATCACGACTAGCACTAATACACTACTACACTATAACACTACACTATAACACTACTACACTATACACTACACCTATACACTAACTATACACTACTAAACTATACACTACACTATACACTACTACACTATACACTACCACTATACACTACTACACTATACACTACACTATAACCACTACCTACACTAATACACTACACTATACACTACTACACTATACACTACATACACTACTACACTATAAACTATAAACACTACACTATACACTACTACACTATACACTACACTATACACTACTACACTATACACTACACTATACAATACTACACTATACACTACACTATACACTACTACACTATACACTACACTATACACTACTACACTATACACTACACTATACACTACTACACTATACACTACACTATACACTACTACACTATACACTACACTATACACTACTACCACTATACACTACACTATACACTACACTATACACTACTACACTTACACTACACTATACACCTACTACACTATACACTACACTATACCACTATACATACACTACTACAACTACACTACACTATACACTACTACACTATACACTCCTACACTATACACTACATACACTACTACACTATACACTACACTATACACTACTACACTATACACTACACTATACACTACTACAATATACACTACACTATACACTACTACACTATACACTACACTATACACTACTACACTATCACACTACACTATCACTACTACACTATACACTACACTATACACTACTACACTATACCTACACTACACTACTACACTCTACACTACCACTATACACACTACACTATAACACTACACTATACCTACACTATACACTACTACACTATACACTACACTATACACTACTACACTATACACTACACTATACACTACTACTATACACTACACTATACACTACTACACTATACACTACACTATACACTACACTATACACTACTACACTATACACTACACTATACACTACTACACTATACACTACACTATACACTACTACACTATACACTACACTATACACTACTACACTATACACTACACTATACACTACTACACTATACACTACACTATACACTACTACACTATACACTACCTATACACTACTACACTATACACTACACTATACACTACTACACTATACACTACTACACATACACTACACTATACACTACTACACTATACACTACACTATACACTACTACACTATACACTACACTTACACTACTACACTATACACTACTACACTATACACTACTACACTATACACTACACTATACACTACACTATACACTACTACACTATACACTACACTATACACTACTACACTATACACTACACTATACACTACTACACTATACACTACACTATACACTACTACACTATACACTACCTATACACTACTACACTATACACTACTACACTATACACTACACTATACACTACTACACTATACACTACACTATACACTACTACACTATACACTACACTATACACTACTACACTATACACTACACTATACACTACTACACTATACACTACACTATACACTACTACACTATACACTACTACACTATACACTACACTATACACTACTACACTATACACTACACTATACACTACTACACTATACACTACACTATACACTACTACACTATACACTACTACACTACACTACTACACTATACACTACTACACTATACACTACACTATACACTACTACACTATACACTACACTATACACTACTACACTATACACTACACTATACACTACTACACTATACACTACACTACTACACTATACACTACTACACTATACACTACACTATACACTACTACCTATACACTACACTATACACTATACACTACACTATACACTACTACACTATACACTACACTATACACTACTACACTATACCACTACACTAACACTAACTACACTATACACTACACTATACACTACACTATACACTACTACACTATACACTACACTATACACTACTACACTATACACTACACTATACACTACTACACTATACACTACACTATACACTACTACACTATACACTACACTATACACTACACTATACACTACTACACTATACAACTACACTATACACTACTACACTATACACTACTACACTATACACTACACTATACACTACTACACTATACACTACACTATACACTACTACACTATACACTACACTATACACTACTACACTATACACTACACTATCACTACTACACTACTACACTATATACTACACTATAATACTACACTACATTGTACACTACATTATACACTACACTATACACTACACTATACACTACTACACTATACACTACTACACTATACACTACACTATACACTACTACACTATACACTACACTATACACTACTACACTATACACTACACTATACAACTACTACACTATACACTACACTATACACTACTACACTATACACTACACTATACACTACTACACTATACACTACACTATACACTACACTATACACTACACTATACACTACTACACTATACACTACACTATACACTACTACACTATACACTACACTATACACTACTACACTATACACTACACTATACACTACTACACTATACACTACACTATACACTACTACACTATACACTACACTATACACTACTACACTATACACTACACTATACACTACTACACTATACACTACACTATACACTACTACACTATACACTACACTATACACTACTACACTATACACTACACTATACACTACTACACTATACACTACACTATACACTACTACACAATTATTTTTGCCTCTACCCCCTCCCTCTCTCTGCCTCTGCCCCCCTCTGTCTATTTAAGGCCTCGCCACAGAGACGATCACCTCTCTCTGTGCCTGTGTTACTCTCTCTCTGTGCATCTTGGTGATGTCTGTCTGCTTACATGTCTGTCTATAGTTTTCTATTTAAGGCCACCCCACAGAGACGATCACCCCTCTCTGTGCCTGTGTTACTCTCTCTCTGTGTATCTTGGTGATGTCTGTCTGCTTATATGTCTGTCTATAGTTTTCTATTTAAGGCCTCGCCACAGAGACGATCACCTCTCTCTGTGCCTGTGTTACTCTCTCTCTGTGTATCTTGGTGATGTCTGTCTGCTTACATGTCTGTCTATAGTTTTCTGGTTATATTCTATGTCGCTATTTCATTATAGCTGATGATGATTGCTTGTGTTGCAATCGAAACTTCGTATGCTATTATTTAATTTCTTATTTTATCTTTAGACGCGACTTTACCGAAAGAACCAAAGAATCATTCCTGCAGTCACGAAAGCTCCAAAAATTAAGATTATTTAAAGCTTCTTTTGAGTTCCCAGCCAGATCCGCCAGTGAATTAAACTCCACGCGGCCTGAAGTTGCATTGGCTAAAGATATTGGCGGACACAACTTTTATTCACAATCAACGTGTTTGGGTTTAGATCGCCGCGTTATTTATAAATGTGTCGTAACCCTCCACCACCCGACACGGCCAATCGGTAAAAAATTGTCACGTTGACAAAAGACAAAATAGTTCGCTGCTTTAGCCCCCACACCGGTGTGTGTTGAAGTGTGAAACCACAACATTTACAATTGTTGAGTAGCACTACGACGTTTCGCTGGTAATTGCATCCAGCATCATCGGGCAATTCGCCATTCGGGTGGTGGAGGGTTACGACACATTTATAAATAACGCGATCTAAACCCAAACACGTTGATTATGAAGTAAGCATCTTCTTGGTTCTTTCGGTAAAGTCGTCACGTAGAAGGGAAGTAATAAAATAATAAAAATAAAACATAATAAAATAAAATAATTCTCACGACGTTTCGGCCACAACGCAAGCAGCCGTCCTCAGGTGAAGAATGTTTTATTTGTATTATTTTATTACTTACCTTCTACGTGACTTTACCGAAAGAACCAAGAAGATGAATCCCTGCAGTCACGAAAGCTTTAAATCGAAATATGAAGTAACCAGTCAGCGGTAGTTGTCCGCATAGGGGAGGAAGCTTTGTTATTGTTGTACTTGCGTTCGCGGACGTGGAGTGAACGTAGACCTGGGCAATTCGAGTATTACCGATTTTCGTTTCGGTAACTCAAGGAATTGCTATGATGACAGCAGTGCATATTGTGGTGGTGCCTGGTATGATTACAGCAGTGCATGCTGACTGTGGTAGTACCTGCTATGATTGCAGCAGTACATACTGACTGTGTGGTACCTGGTATGATGACAGCAGTGCATATTGTGGTGGTGCCTGGTATGATTACAGCAGTGCATACTGCTGTGGTAGTACCTGCTATGATTGCAGCAGTACATGCTGTGGTTGTGGTAACTGCTATGATGACAGCAGTACATGCTGTGGTGGTGGTAACTGCTATGATGACAGCAGTACATGCTGTGGTTGTGGTACCTGCTATGATGACAGCAGTACATACTGTGGTGGTGGTAACTGCTATGATGACAGCAGTACATGCTGACTGTGGTAGTACCTGCTATGATTGCAGCAGTGCATACTGCTGTGTGGTACCTGGTATGATGACAGCAGTACATACTGTGGTGGTGGTAACTGATGTGATGACAGCAGTACATGCTGTGGTTGTGGTACCTGCTATGATTGCAGCAGTACATACTGCGGTTGTGGTGCCTGCTGTGATGACAGCAGTACATACTGTGGTTGTGGTAACTGCTATGATGACAGCAGTACATACTGTGGTGGTGGTGGTAACTGGTATGATGACAGCAGTACATACTGCGGTTGTGGTACCTGGTATGATGACAGCAGTACATACTGTGGTTGTGGTGCCTGGTATGATGACAGCAGTACATACTGTGGTTGTGGTAACTGGTATGATGACAGCAGTACATACTGCGGTTGTGGTACCTGGTATGATGACAGCAGTACATACTGTGGTTGTGGTGCCTGGTATGATGACAGCAGTACATACTGTGGTTGTGGTAACTGCTATGATGACAGCAGTACATACTGTGGTGGTGGTACCTGGTATGATGACAGCAGTACATACTGACTGTGGTATCTGCTATGATGACAGCAGTACATGCTGTGGTTGTGGTGCCTGGTATGATGACAGCAGTACATACTGACTGTGTGGTAACTGCTATGATGACAGCAGTACATACTGTGATGGTGGTAACTGCTATGATGACAGCAGTACATACTGTGGTGGTGGTAACTGCTATGATGACAGCAGTACATGCTGTGGTGGTGGTACCTGCTATGATGACAGCAGTACATGCTGTGGTGGTGGTAACTGCTATGATGACAGCAGTACATACTGTGGTTGTGGTAACTGCTATGATGACAGCAGTACATACTGTGGTTGTGGTACCTGCTATGATGACAGCAGTACATGCTGTGGTTGTGGTACCTGCTATGATGACAGCAGTACATACTGTGGTGGTGGTAACTGCTATGATGACAGCAGTACATACTGTGTGGTACCTGCTATGATTACAGCAGTACATACTGTGTGGTACCTGCTATGATGACAGCAGTACATGCTGTGGTGGTGGTACCTGCTATGATGACAGCAGTACATGCTTTGGTTGTGGTACCTGGTATGATGACAGCAGTACATACTGTGGTGGTGGTAACTGCTATGATGACAGCAGTACATACTGTGGTTGTGGTAACTGCTATGATGACAGCAGTACATGCTGTGGTTGTGGTAACTGCTATGATGACAGCAGTACATGCTGTGGTTGTGGTACCTGCTATGATGACAGCAGTACATACTGTGGTGGTGGTACCTGCTATGATGACAGCAGTACATACTGTGGTTGTGGTAACTGCTATGATGACAGCAGTACATGCTGACGCTATGTATCTTAAATTGAAAAGGGAAATTTGTGAACGTGTGTGTCTGTTGGAAATGTTAATCATACTTGGCGACATGCAACCAACGCGAATAGGCCGATTCCAAAGGAATCTACGACCTCCGATTCCTTCGCGTGATTTAAAGAATCGATTCATGGCGTGCTCAGATTTGAATTTTTAATTACTGAGTTTTATTGTCATTGGTATGTTATGATGACAGCAGTACATACCGACTCTGTCGCCTCGACGGACCTGGTTTTCACCTGAGGACGGCTGCTTGCGTTGTGGCCGAAACGTCGTGAGAATTATTTTATTTTATTACGTTTTATTTTTATTATTTTATTACTTCCCTTCTACGTGACTTTACCGAAAGAACCAAGAAGATGGTATATTATGTTTTTAAGTTTCCAGAAGTTTTAAAATATATTCTTGCCCCGGGCAACGCTGGGTATATATATATCGACTCTACAGCACAAAGTAGTCGCCTGACTGAGTGCCGTGTTGAGGCCTAGTCCCGTGCAGAGCCTGCGGCCTCGCCTAGATTGGCCAGCCGGCCGAGGCTGGGGGCTGGTCCGCTACACCGCCCCCCCCCCCCCGAAAAAAACGTCTAATTGCTATTATTTTTTTTGATTTAAAGCTTTCGTGACTGCAGGGATTCATCTTCTTGGTTCTTTCGGTAAAGTCATCACGTAGAAGGGAAGTAATAAAATAATAAAAATAAAACACAATACAATAATTCTCACGACGTTACGGCCACAACGCAAGCAGCCGTCCTCAGGTGAAGAACAGGTCTGTCGGGAAGACAGCGTCTGAATGCTAATCCTGCATAATGCACGGGCATAAGTAGTACTAATCACATACCTGCATTTCCCATAAATATGCTAAATTCCTTTTGATATGCAAATTCTTTTGTCAAGGCGCCCAGCTTATATAGACGCTCCAAGCACGTGTGCTGTTTCATTCAGACTCTGTCGCCTCGACGGACCTGTTCTTCACCTGAGGACGGCTGCTTGCGTTGTGGCCGAAACGTCGTGAGAATTATTGTATTATGTTTTATTTTTATTATTTTATTACTTCCCTTCTACGTGACGACTTTACCGAAAGAGCCAAGAAGATGATTGCTATTATTTTAGTATCTACCGACCCTATAATAGTAAGTGGACACAATTCTAGATTTGAAGCTTTCATGACTGCAAGGATTCATATTCTTAGGTTTTTTCGGTAAAGTCACCGTGTAGGTAAAACATTAAAATTAATAAAAATAAAATAAAATAAAGATCACGACGTTTCGGAGGCAACACCAGCTTCCGTCTTCAGGTGGAACCGTCACAGCCACGGCAGCCGTATCAAGTAAATGAGAGATTGCAAGAGCTACCACTCCGTTTATATAATGGTTGGAGAAGGGGGGAAGGGCCAAGTACGGCACACTTGTTAAATCCTTTATATTAAGTTCGCTTGCTTGCTTACGACCGTGCAAATCTTTCGGTCGTTTTTTAACCCACTTCCCGTGATCCAATCGAGCTGACATTTTGCACACAGACTCGTTGTGCGAGACAATTAATGTTCGTGAAATTGTTTTCCAAAATTTTACACTGTTTAGGGAAAACAAATTAAATATTTTATTACCAATTGCTTAATGGTGGCAGACAATCATCTGACCCATAGGTGGCAGCCATCTCAAGCCAGAGGACGAGAGGACTCTAGCCGCCACGCATATAAAGGATCTATAGTGAAAAACTTAGTTTTTACGGGTTATACTTATAATGTTTTACCTACGTGTGACTTTACCGAAAAGAATATAAGTGGACACATTTGAATCGCCCCTTGCGTACAGATACGTGGTGATCATGCCCAAGAAACGGCAGGCTCTGGTGGAGTTTGAAGCGCTAGAGAGCTCCCGCAGCTGCGTCAACTACTCGTCCACGCGCCCCGTCTACGTGTGCGGGCAGCCGGCCTATTGTAACTTCTCCACCAGCCAGAAGATTTTGTGGCCTCGCAGCGCCGAGGAACGCCAGAAGAGGAACCACATCCTGCTTTTCACCATCTTCAACCCCATGTACCCCATCACCACGGTGGGTGCAGTCACACTCACAGCAGCTGGACATTTCGATGTAAAGCTGCTTTCATGACTGCAGGGCAGAGGTGTGGACTCGAGTCATGTGACTTGGACTCGAGTCAGACTCGAGTCATGAATTTGATGACTTCAGACTCGACTTGGACTTGCATAACAATGACTTTGTCCCACCTCTGCTGCAGGGATTCATCTTCTTGGTTCTGTCGGTAAAGTCGTCACGTAGAAGGGAAGTAATAAAACAATAAAAAAAAGTATAACCCGTAAAAACAAAGTTTTTCACTATAAATCCTTTATATGCGTGGCGGCTAGAGTCCTCTCGTCCTCTGGCTTGAGATGGCTGCCACCTATGGGTCAGATAATTGTCTGCCAGTATTAAGCAATTGGTAATTAAATACTTAATTTGTTTTCCCTAAACAGCGTAAAATTTCGGAAAAAAATTTCACGAACATTAATAGTCACGCACAACGAGTCTGTGTGCAAAATGTCAGCTCGATTGGATCACGGGAAGTGGGTTAAAAAACGACCGAAAGATTTGCACGGTCGTAAGCAAGCAAGCAAGTGAACTTAAAATAAAGGATTTAATAAAACATTTTTACGTTTCGATTTAAAGCTTTCGTGACTGCAGGGATTCATCTTCTTGGTTCTTTCGGTAAAGTCATCACGTAGAAGGGAAGTAATAAAATAATAAAAATAAAACACATTAAAATAATTCTCACGACGTTTCGGCCACAACGCAAGCAGCCGTCCTCAGGTGAAGAACAGGTCTGTCGGGGAGACAGAGTCTGAATGCATTTCCCATAAATATGCTAAATTACTCTTGATATGCAAATTATTTTGTCGAAGCGCCCTTTCCCCCCCTTCCAACCCAGCTTATATATATACGCTCCAAGCTCGTGTGCTGTTTCATTCAGACGCTGTCTCCTCGACCGACCTGGTCTTCACCTGAGGACGGCTGCTTGCGTTGTGGCCGAAACGTCGTGAGAATTTTTTTATTGTGTTTTATTTTGTATAATTTTATTACTTCCCTTCTACGTGACGACTTTACCGAAAGAACCAAGAATACAGCTGGACATTAAAGTGAATGTTATTTGTCGGTTGTGCCACGCACATGTTTAATTTATACGAATGAAATTACATCCGATTTGGATTACATTAGTGGCTCTGCTAAGGAAATTACATTGAGCCTTTGGTTCATTTGAGGCAATTTGAAGTCATCTTTTTTTTGTTTGTGCTTTGAAGTCTACCAATGGCATCGAATAAAAAAATGCTTAAATACAATTATATCTTAGACCTAATGTTGATTTTGGAAAAGCATCGATGTCCCGCATGGCTCGATCTTAAAAATTCACTGAAAAAAATCTTTTCAAGTTTAATTGGAAAAAAATGCAAACTCAACTCGCTGTGTTTGATGGTTATCCGGTCTGTCTAAACGTGTTCTCCGCGTGGTCTTTTGCAGGATTTGCTTTACACCATTTGCCACCCATGCGGGCCTGTGCATCGCATTGTGATTTTCAGGAAGAATGGCCTGCAGGCCATGGTGGAATATCCTTTAACCAGATCCCATGAATATGCTAAACTCCTCTTGATATGCACATTCTTTTGTTAAGGTGCTCTTCTTCCACCTCCAACCCAGCTTATATATAAGCTCCAAGCTTGGCAGTGTCTCATTCTTCACCTGAGGACGGCCGCTTGCGTTGTGGCCGAAACGTCGTGAGAATTATTTGATTTTATTATGTTTTATTTTTATAATTTTATTACTTCCCTTCTACGTGGCGACTTTACCGAAAGAACCAAGAAGATGTAACAATGACTCTAGATTTGAAGCTTTCGTGACTGCAAGGATTCATACTATATAGGAACGGGAGACAGCAGAGCCCCTCACCACTCTGGCAAATTTCCCGATGATGCTGGTTGCAATTACCAGCGAAACGTCACAGCGCTACTCAAATAGTAAACGTTGTGGTTTCACGCTTCAACACACACCGGTGTGGGGGCTAAAGCAGCGAACTAAATTGTCTTTTGTCAACGTGACACTTTTTTACCGATTGGCCGTGTCGGGTGGTGGAGGGTTACGACACATTTATAAATAACGCGGCCATCTAACACCCAAACACGTTGATTGTGAATAATATTGGTCGCGAAAGCCTCTGCTACGTGTTAGACTGAGGATTCATACTCTTAGGTTTTTTCGGTAAAGTCACTGTGTAGGTAAAAAAAAATTTAATCAATAAAAGTAAAATAAAACATTAAAAAATTCACGACGTTTCGACAGCTGCACTTGATACTCTGTCGTGGCTCAGTCCTTTGTTATGCAGTCTACTCTTAGTCTTAAGCCTCACCTTACCATATTAATAAAACGTGTGCCGTACTTGCCCCTTCCACCCTCTTCAACCATTATATAAACGGAGTGGTGGCTCTTGCAATCTCTCATCTACTTGATGCGGCTGTCGTGGCTGTGACGGTCCCACCTGAAGACGGAGACTTGTGTTGCCTCCGAAACGTCGTGATTTTTTAAATTTGTTTTATTTTACTTTTATTAATTTACATTTTTTACCTACACGGTGACTTTACCGAAAAAACCTAAGAGTATGAATCCTTGCAGTCACGAAAGCTTCAAACCCTGAATTGAGACATCTATTTTAGCGGTGGCAAAATGTAGTGGTAGGTTTTTACCCTTTTAAACTGGTACAAAAACTGACACATTTATACAAGGCATCATACACCTTGAAACATGCAGTCTACTCTTAGTCTTAAGCCTCACCTTACCATATTAATAAAACGTGTGCCGTACTTGGCCCTTACCGCCTCTCCAACCATTATATAAACGGAGTGGTAGCTCTTGCAATCTCTCATTCACTTGATACGGCTGTCGTGGCTGTGACGATTCCACCTGAAGACGGAAGCTTGTGTTGCCTCCGAAACGTCGTGATTTTTATTTTATTTTACTTTATTAATTTAGATTTTTTTACCTACACGGTGACTTTACCGAAAAAACCTAAGAGTATGAATCCTTGCAGTCACGAAAGCTTCAAATCTAGAATAAATGCACTCATCCTGTTGATATTTTAGGTTTTTTCGGTAAAGTCACCGTGTAGGTAGAAAAAGTAAATTAATAAAAGTAAAATAAAATAAATTAAAAATTCACGACGTTTCGGAGGCAACACAAGCTTCCGTCTTCAGGTGGAACCGTCACAGCCACGACAGCTGTATCAAGTAACGTCGTGAAATTTTTAATTTGTTTTATTTTACTTTTATTAATTTAAAATTTTTTAGCTACGTGACTTTATCGAAAAAACCTAAGAGTATGTAACAACGACATGTCCACTCTATGGGGACCTCATAGTGTAGATGTTTGCCCCGAGCTCTCATACTCTGATGGTGCATTGTCTTTGAGTTGTGCACCTTTTGGCGTCATCTGGTCCAACACCATGTGAGACTAGGCTCTAAGGAAAGCTGTCTCGGGTGTGGACCAATCAACTTCAAGGACCATGTGAGACTAGGCTCTAAGGAAAGCTGTCTCGGGTGTGGACCAATCAACTTCAAGGACCATGTGAGACTAGGCTCTAAGGAAAGCTGTCTCGGGTGTGGACCAATCAACTTCAAGGACCATGTGAGACTAGGCTCTAAGGAAAGCTGTCTCGGGTGTGGACCAATCAACTTCAAGGACCATGTGAGACTAGGCTCTAAGGAAAGCTGTCTCGGGTGTGGACCAATCAACTTCAAGGACCATGTGAGACTAGGCTCTAAGGAAAGCTGTCTCGGGTGTGGACCAATCAACTTCAAGGACCATGTGAGACCAGGCTCTAAGGAAAGCTGTCTCGGGTGTGGACCAATCAACTTCAAGGACCATGTGAGACTAGGCTCTAAGGAAAGCTGTCTCGGGTGTGGACCAATCAACTTCAAGGACCATGTGAGACTAGGCTCTAAGGAAAGCCGTCTCGGGTGTGGACCAATCAACTTCAAGGACAGTGCATACATTATCAGAGTTGTGTTTTTGTTTGCATTATGACTGCAGGTATTGTGGTCTATGCAAACATGACTCCTTGTAAAAAGGTGTCAGTTTTGTTGCCAGATAGAAGGGTTAAAAACCAATTGACATGTCCACTATTCGTGTCTTTTACGCCTTATTTTGGGAGATGCTACATGTATTGTTTTTAACATAAAACGGTCGTGTTTTCCTAAGTTCTTGGCCACGTTTGATTCGGCTGCGAGCGCCCAGACAGCGAAGTCGTCTCTGAACGGAGTGGACATCTATCCGGGCTGCTGTACTCTTCAAGTGGAGTTTGCAAAGGCAAGTTCAAGCGACACTTTGTACGTTCACAAACGTCTCGTAAAGCTCGTTGAGGCCACTTCTGGAATCCGTCTTTGATTCAACTTGCGTTACAGCTTCCCTCCACGCTGCTGACAGGCAGCAGAAGTCACCGCGTAGGTAAAAAAATGAAATTAATAAAAATAAAATAAAACAATAACAAGTATAACCCGTAAAAACAAAGTTTTTCACTCTAAATCCTTTATATGCGTGGCATCGGCTAGAGTCCTCTCGTCCTCTGGCTTGAGATGGCTGCCACCTATGGGTCAGATGATTGTCTGCCAGCATAAAGCAATTGGTAATGAAATATTTAATTTGTTTTCCCTAAGCAGTGTACAATTTTTGAATTTTTTTTCACGAACATTAATTGTCTGGCACAACGAGTCTGTGTGGAAAATGTCAGCTCGATTGGATCACGGGAAGTGGGTTAAAAGACGACCGAAAGATTTGCACGGTCCTAAGCAAGCAAGCAAGCAAGCGAACTTAATATAAAGGATTTAAAAATCACGACGTTTCGGAGGCAACACAAGTCTCCGTCATCAGGTGGGACCGTCACAGCCAGATTTGCTGCATCAAGCGAGGCAATGATTCAAGATGTAATCCCTTAAATGCAAGTGGAGGGGGGAGGAGAGGGGGGGAGAGCTCATCAGAATGTGGTAGCCAATGAATGGAACGTATCGGGAGGGAGGAGGCAGGGCTCAAAGAATGCACGAAGTGCCACGTACAACTTTAAGGGTTGCGTTAAGTACGACAGTCTAGCTGCAAGTTGCATGCCGTAACTGCCTGAGCTAAAGATGCGCGCTCAATAATTATGCTTGTAGATTTGAATGGTTTCATAGTTCTTAAATCCTTTATATTAAGTTCGCTCGCTTGCTTGCTTGCTTGCGTGCGTGCTTGCTTGCGTGCTTGCTTGCTTGCTTACGACCGTGCAAATCTTTCGGTCGTTTTTAAACCCACTTCCCGTGATCCAATCGAGCTGACATTTTGCACACAGACTCGTTGTGCGAGACAATTAATGTTCGTGAAATTTTTTTTCCAAAATTTTACACTTTTTAGGGAAAACTAATTAAATATGTAATTGGCAATTGCTTAATACTGGCAGACAATCATCTGACCCATAGGTGGCAGCCGTCTCAAGCCAGAGGACGAGAGGACTCTAGCCGCCACGATGCCACGCATATAAAGGATTTATAGTGAAAAACGTTGTTTTTACGGGTTAATTTTTTCTTGGTTCTTTCGCTAAAGTCACGTAGAAAGAACCAAGAAGATGAATCCCTGCAGTCACGAAAGCTTTAAATCGAAATTTAGGCTTCATAGTTGTATCTTCTTTTGCCGAGCATTCATGCCCTACGTGCCGGTCATAAATAGCGTACATCTTTCCCTCTGCTGTGTCCTCTTTACAGCAGACCCGTCTGAATGTGTTTAAAAATGATTCCGAGACCTGGGACTACACCTACCCTGGCGTCGAACAAGGTAAGACCAGAGCTACTTTGAGCATATCAGAGCTGCGGTCTCTGACAGCCCCGGGGCGAACCGTCTAGGTGTGGGGTGACGTTTTGAACGCAAGGCTGGGCACGTCGTGATGAAACAAATATTGACAGACGACTATTACAGGTTATTGATAGACAGCCAGGCTTGTTTTACCATGTTTATTTTTTCACACTATTGTTACGTAGGCCAGGCTTAGTCACAAACCGTACCTCTCCATAGCAAAGGCTCAGCCTCTCAAGCCTCGCCTTACCGTATTAATAAAAAGTGTGCCGTACTTGCCCCTTCCACCCTCTCCAACCATTATATAAACGGAGTGGTGGCTCTTGCAATCTCTCATTTACTTGATGCGGCTGTCGTGGCTGTGACGGTTCCACCTGAAGACGGAAGCTTGTGTTGCCTCCGAAACGTCGTTATTTTTATTTTAATTTGATTTATTTTAATGTTTTACCTACGCGGTGACTTTACCGAAACAACCTAAGAATATGTTATTTGGTTCTTTCGGTTAAGTCACGTCTAAAGATAAAATAATAAATTAAATTAAATAATAGCATACGACGTTTCGATTGCAACACAAGCAATCATCATCAGGCGTAATGAAATAGCGACATAGAATCTAACCAGAAAACTATAGACAGACATATAAGCAGACAGACATCACCAAGATACACAGAGAGAGAGAGTAACACAGGCACAGAGAGAGGTGATCGTCTCTGTGGCGAGGCCTTAAATAGACAGAGGGGGCGGAGGCAGAGAGAGGGAGGGGGTAGGGAAAACATTTGCATGTCAATGAGTGGACGACAAAACGTGGTGCTGCAAGTGCGATGACACGGCAAGCAAGCCTGAAAATCAGGAGGACAAACTAAAATTAAATAACCTAGTAAAATATTGAAATGTAATGTAATGCAACACAGAGGGTCGGCCAACACACAATGAACGCACAGCCCGGTCGATTACGTATTTCAAAGTGTTGCTAAGTTAGAATTTAAGTGTGAAAATTCCAAAGAGAGGACACAGGCAGAGAGAAGAGAGAGATAGAAAAAAAGGATAGGCTTAAAACTAAAATTAAGACCTAAGAATATGAACAAGTATTGACTACTTGTGAACGCGGCCAGTTTTGCTGCGTTGTACTTGAAGATCCGTGCCAAGTAGGGGAAGTATGGAGCGTTCTTGAGAGGATCATGGGGATTCTGCACTTGAGATTGTGGTGCAGGACAGTGGCACACCTGCACACACTTCGTTGTGATAATTGTTTTTTTAAATCCTTTATATTAAGTTTGCTTGCTTGCTTGCGTGCTTGCCTAGGATTGTGCAAACCTTTCGCTCGTTTTTAACCCACTTCCCGTGATCCAATCGAGCTGACATTTTCCACACAGACTCGTTGTGCGAGACAATTAATGTTCGTGAAAAAAAAATCAAAAATTTTACACTGTTTAGAGAAAACAAATTAAATATTTAATTACCAATTGCTTAATACTGGCAGGCAATCATCTGACCCATAGGTGGCAGCCATCTCAAGCCAGAGGACGAGAGGACTCTAGCCGATGCCACGCATATAAAGGATTTATAGTGAAAAACTTTGTTTTTACGGGTTATACTTGTTACCGATTTAAAGCTTTCGTGACTGCAGGGATTCATCTTCTTGGTTCTTTCGGTAAAGTCGCCACGTAGAAGGGAAATAATAAAATAGCAAAAATAAAACATAATAAAATAATTCTCACGACGTTTCGGCCACAACGCAAGCAGCCGTCCTCAGGTGAAGAACAGGTCTGTCGGTAAAGTCACGTAGAATGGAAATAATAAAATAATAAAAATGAAACATAATACAATAATTCAGAGTCTACTCGACAGACCTGTTCTCCACCTGAGGACGGCTGCTTGCGTTGTGGCCGAAACGTCGTGATAATTATTTTATTATGTTTTATTTTTGCTATTTTATTATTTCCCTTCTACGTGACGACTTTACCGAAAGAACCAAGAAGATGAATCTTAGTTTGTTTAGCCCAGGCTAAGCTTGCATAGTTTACTCTGATTGATAATTAAACACCTGCTCGTGTACTTTGTTTTTCTAGCGTACCCTTCACAACAATTCGGCAATATAAGTGAATCTTGGGAACAACAGAATTCACGAGGAAAATTGCCGAGGTTTTCAAGAATTCGTTGGATTCGTCTTGTACCGGTGAAACTGGTGCCCTGTTACTGCAACTGGTCCCCTCCACCCACCACCCCGACCCAGCGCATGCTGCAGACATTGCCATTAAGTGGGTGGCATTTTAGAGTTTGATGAGCTTTGAAGATTTTTGCCGACGTAAACGCTTCGAAGGGTACATCACGAGACCTCCTTTGCCAGTAACCAAAATATACCAGTAGGGTTCTAGATTTGATGAAGCTTTCGTGACTGCAATGATTCATATTCTTAGGTTTTTTCGGTAAAGTCACCAGGTAGGTAAAAAACATTAAAAAGTAAAATAAAATAAAAATCACGACGTTTCGGAGGCAACACCAGCTTCCGTCTTCAGGTGGAACCGTCACAGCCACGACAGCCGTATCAAGCAAATAAGAGATTGCAAGAGCTACCACTCCGTTCTTATAATCTCTCATTCACTTGATACGGGTGTCGTGGCTGTGACGGTTCCACCTGAAGACGGAAGCTTGTGTTGCCTCCGAAACGTCGTGATTTTTATTTTATTTTACTTTTTAATGTTTGTTACCTACCTGGTGACTTTACCGAAAAAACCTAAGAATATATACCAATAGGGTTTTCCCCTTTTTTCTGGCGAAAACACTGACACCTTTTGCAAGCGATCATGTCTACATTAACCGCAATACACGCAGTCGAATGCAAACAAAAACACAAACATGATGCCTTGTGTAAAGGTGTCAGTTTTTGTACCGTTTAAAAGGGTAAAAACCTATCACTAACATACAAGCAGCCAGCAGCAACAGCATCAACATTGATAATTGGTTTTTTACCCTTCTATCTGGCAACAAAACTGACACCTTTTTATAAAGAGTCATGTTTGCATAGACCACAATACCTGCAGTCATAATGCAAACAAAAAAACACAACTCTGATAATGTATGCACTGTCCTTGAAGTTGATTGGTCCACACCCGAGACAGCTTTCCTTAGAGCCTAGTCCCACATGGTCCTTGAAGTTGATTGGTCCACACCCGAGACAGCTTTCCTTAGAGCCTAGTCTCACATGGTCCTTGAAGTTGATTGGTCCACACCCGAGACAGCTTTCCTTAGAGCCTAGTCTCACATGGGTTGGACCAGATGACACCAAAAGGCGACTAGGCTCTTAAGGAAAGCTGTCTCGGGTGTGGACCAATCAACTTCAAGGACCATGTGAGACTAGGCTCTAAGGAAAGCTGTCTCGGGTGTGGACCAATCAACTTCAATGACAGTGCATACATTATCAGAGTTGTGTGTTTTGTTTGCATTATGACTGCAGGTATTGCGGTCTATGCAAACATGACTCCTTGTAAAAAAGGTGTCAGTTTTGTTGCCAGATAGAAGGGTACAAAACCAATTATTTTTACTGGCAAATGAGGTTCCCATAGAGCATCAACATGAACAACAACAACAACAACGGCGACATCGGCAACAACCTCGTCACCACTTGGAGGCACACGCACCAAGCCAGCAACACGCTACTGTCACGCATGTCACGTAACACGCGGTGCTGGACACTGCACCACGGCCGCCTGGCAGAGGCCATTGGATACTTCAAGATTTGAAAAAACCTAAGAATATGAAGCCATTGGATACCTCCAGCCAGCCGCAAGCGCCGGGGGACACACGGCGCTACAGACTCGGCAAACCACCGGCGCTGCCGTGAAGACGTCAGGGACAACTTTAAGAAAAATGGACAACAACACCGTTCTTTTTTCGATTTAAAGCTTCTTTCGTGACTGCAGCAGGGATTCATCTTCTTGGTTCTTTCGGTAAAGTCGTCACATAGAAGGGAAGTAATAAAATAATAAAAATAAAACATAATAAAATAATTCTCACGACGTTTCGGCCACAACGCAAGCAGCCGTCTTCAGGTGAAGACCAGGTCTGTCAAGGCGACAAGAGTCTGAATGAAACAGCGCACGAGCTTGGAGCGTGTATATAAGCTGGGCGCCTTGACAAAGAAATTTGCATATCAAGAGGAATTTAGCATATTTATGGGAAATGCAGGTATGTGAATAGTACTAATTATGCCCGTGCATTATGCAGGATTAGCAGCATCATAGGGAGGGGATATGGGAAATGCAGGTATGTGATTAGTGCTACTTATGCCCGTGCATTATGCAGGACTAGCAGCATCAAAGGGAGGGGATATGGGAAATGCAGGTGTGTGATTAGTACTACTTATGCCCGTGCATTATGCAGGACTAGCAGCATCAAAGGGAGGGGATATGGGAAATGCAGGTGTGTGATTAGTACTACTCATGCCCGTGCATTATGCAGGATTAGCAGCATCACAGGGAGGGGATATGGGAAATGCAGGTATGTGATTAGTACTACTTATGCCCGTGCATTATGCAGGATTAGCAGCATCCAAGGGAGGGGATATGGGAAATGCAGGTATGTGATTAGTACTACTCATGCCCGTGCATTATGCAGGATTAGCAGCATCATAGGGAGGGGATATGGGAAATGCAGGTGTGTGATTAGTACTACTCATGCCCGTGCATTATGCAGGATTAGCAGCATCATAGGGAGGGGATATGGGAAATGCAGGTATGTGATTAGTACTACATATGCCCGTGCATTATGCAGGATTAGCAGCATCATAGGGAGGGGATATGGGAAATGCAGGTATGTGATTAGTACTACTCATGCCCGTGCATTATGTAGGATTATCAGCATCACAGGGAGGGGATATGGGAAATGCAGGTATGTGATTAGTACTACTTATGCCCGTGCATTATGCAGGATTAGCATTCAGACGCTGTCTCCCCGACAGACCTGTTCTTCACCTGAGGACGGCTGCTTGCGTTGTGGCCGAAACGTCGTGAGAATTATTTTATTATGTTTTATTTTTTATTACTTCCTTTCTACGTGACGACTTTACCGAAAGAACCAAGAAGAGGAACACCGTTCATGGCATTCACCACGAACGGACTTGGAAACGAGCGAAACGGAATGTGTGCCGAGGCATTCGTGGGGTTTTAAAATTGCTTCGTTGGAGAATTTACCTTAATGCTCGTACATTTAAACTTTTGGGAGGTGTTGCTAAAGTTGTGTTTGCAAGAAGGCTTTTGCATTGCAGATGCCAGAGACGATGCATTTTTACATTGGTTTATAAGTGGTGATCTTTTGAAATCCTTTATATTAAGTTCGCTTGCTTGCGCGCTTACGACCGTGCAAATCTTTCAGTCGTTTTTTAACCCACTTCCCGTGATCCAATCGAGCTGACATTTTGCACACAGACTCGTTGTGCGTGACAATTTATTTTGGTGAAACTTTTTTTCCAAAATTTTACACTTTCTAGAAAAAAAAAATATTATATTTAATTTCCAATTGCTTAATGGTGGCAGGCAATCATCTGACCCACAGGTGGCAGCCATCTCAAGCCAGAGGACGAGAGGACTCTAGCCGATGCCACGCATATAAAGGATTTATAGTGAAAAACTTTGTGTTTTTACGGGCTAATTTTTTCATCATAAAGGTTTATAAGCGCGCTGTTGACCGCTCGTGTCCAATGTTGAGCCCCGGGAACCGAACGGGTCTCCGGACAGAGTGAGGTTTGGTGGCACGGACAACTTGGGTGCGTTCGTAACGAGCGTGGCTTCTGTGACGCGGCAAAGAAGGCGACACCAGCCTCTCCGTTGCATCCTCTCGCGTTGGGTTACAAGCTGCCGCCCACTCTAGAGCATCTTTGTGTTCCTGTCTAAGCGTAGACTGGGCGAGAGCAGGCAGGAGCATTGCAGGTGGCAACCACGAAGACTACTCAGCGTGTCCATGCCGTGTTGAACATCGGTGTCAACATCATTGTGACTTTGTGTAATTTGTGAATGTCCATCACTCCTTTTTTTTATTTAAAGCTTTCGTGACTGCAGGGATTCATCTTCTTGGTTCTTTCGGTAAAGTCATCACGTAGAAGGGAAGTAATAAAATAATGAAAATAAAACATCATAAATATTTTGTTATATTATTTTATTCTTTTTCGGTAAAGTCGCGTAGAAGGGAAATAATAAAATAATAAAAATATACCGTTATAAAATATATTGTTATATTATTTTTTTTCGGTAAAGTCGCGTAGAAGGGAAATAATAAAATAATGAAAATAAAACATTTTTATGTTTCGATTTAAAGCTTCTTTCGTGACTGCAGCAGGGATTCATCGTCTTGGTTCTTTCGGTAAAGTCACCACGTAGAAGGGAAATAATAAAATAATAAAAAATAAAACATAACAAAATAATTCTCACGACGTTTCATCCTGAGGACGGCTGCTTGCGTTGTGGCCGAAACGTCGTGAGAATTATTTTGTTATGTTTTATTTTTATTATTTTATTACTTCCCTTCTACGTGACGACTTTACCGAAAGAACCAAGAAGATCCGTCGCTCCTGTTGAAAGTTAACCGTGATGGGTTGAAAGTTGCAATTTGAACGCGTTTACATTTTAGTTGTAAATTTTTTTGGAGGATTAATGTAGATTTTTTACGCTGACTGCAGCAGCAGCAGCAGCGAAAGGTTTAAAAGGTTTGCAGTAAAACATGCGTCGGCTGTCTGGAAATGAAGATTGTTGAAATAAAAAAAGTTTTAAGAAATTACGATTTGCATTGCTATTTTGTCCATGAGCTCAGACCTGATTTCTCTTGGCACTCCTTGGGTCCTGTCACTTTAGCGGCTCCAATTCATTTTCAATTTGGGGGTTTACTAATAGGGGTTTTCCCCTTATTCTGGCAACAAAACTGCAAGGAATCATGTCTACGTTAACCACAATACTTGCAGTCAAATGTAAACAAAAAACAATACTCTGTTAATTTATGCGTCGTCTTTGAAACTGATTGGTCCACACCAGAGGCAGCTTTCTTTAGAGCCTAGTCTCATATGGCGTTCGACCAGATGACGCCAAAAGGCGCTACACAGTTCAAGACAACGCACCATCAGAGTAATGAGAGCTCGGGGTAGAGCAGCTACATCATGGGACCTCCTTTGCCAGTACCAACATATACTCATAGGGTTTTTCCCCTTTTTATGGCAACAAAACTGACACCATGGGAACCTCATTTACTGGCAAATGAGGTTCCCATAGTGTAGATGCTTGCCCCGAGCTCTCATACTCTGATGGTGCATTGTCCTTGAGTTGTGCGCCTTTTGGCGTCATCTGGTCCAACCCATATGAGACTAGGCTCTAAGGAAAGCTGTCTCGGGTGTGGACCAATCAACTTCAAGGACCATGTGAGACTAGGCTCTAAGGAAAGCTGTCT